AAAAAGGAAGGAATTGTTCTTTCCAAAAAAAGAAAGCTATTATCACTATTTTTACTATAAAAGAGAGGATGAGTCAATCACTGTTCATTTTTGCACATTCCATCTCACACTTAACTGGTTTGGTTCTGGTTTTTCTACAGTGAGATAGCAACAATTGTTGACTTCTCAATTTTGACTAAATCGACTCTTAATAACAAATATCTGGTTTCTCCTCCTCCTTCATGTGAACTTTAAAAATAACCCAACGAAACCCAGAATTCTCGCGCAACACAGAGAGTTAGAGAGTTTCTCATTTCGACAATCATTTTCACATTGTGGTGTGTGAACTCTACAAATAACCTAACCAAACCAAGAATTCTCATGTAGCACAGAGTGTAAGAAAGTTTTTCCTGAAGGTATCTTATGTAACATTTTCTTTTTACTACTTTTCTTTTCTTTTGAATTTTATGTTTTTGAATGAAAGCAGAAATAATTTTTATTGTAGTAGAGAAATAAAAAAAAATTTAGAAAAAAGTTTGTCCCAGTGTCTCCTGAAGGTCTGTTATATAGCATTTCTTCCTATTACTTTTGTTTACGTTTGATTATTGTAACACTCCCGTTGATATGGAAAAAAAATTTCTCCCCGTGTGCGGAGACACTCTCCCCACAGTGCAGAGACGAAGAAAGAAAAAAAATAATAATAATAATAATTTTCTAGAAATATATAAATATATATTTTTTTAAGAAGAAAAATAAAATAAAAAAAATCGGACTGTGTGGAGAACACTCCGTACAATGCGAAGATCACAGCGCTCCGCACACGGTGCGGAGTGACACTCAGCACTATGCAGAGTGATCTCCGTATAGTGCAGAGTGTCTCCGCACAGTGCGGAGACAAGTGTTTTTTTTATTCTTTTCTTTTTTTATTTTTATAATTTTTTGCTTCATTTCATACATACATAAAATCAAAATTTCTTCCGTGGCTCCACACTTGCGCCTTTTCTTTTTATTTCCTTTTTTTTTTTTCCAAAAATTCTACTTATTTACATTTTACATAAACTATAACTTCAATTTCACTTATTAATAATTTAATTCAAAAACATTAGAAAATCTCCAATTATGTACATATATGAAAATCAAAATTCATTCCGTCGCTCCGCACTTGCGCCTTTTCT